ATCACGAGCTCAAAAGGTTTGACTCTTTTAAGTTTGCACACTAGATTTTAATTGTCTTAAAGTTAATGATAATGTGTTTATGGAGCCTCTCCTCATGTCTCTTGGCAATTTTCTTAATTTATTCTGGAATTAATTCAACTTGGAGTTCTCGGTGCAAAACTTTATTCCGAACGCACCGAGGTGCATTAATTATGTTCCTGATAATTCATAGTGGCTTTAGAGCTTGTTTGTAAGTCAGTATTTTATTTTGAGTGGACAACCAAGACATATTTCTATAAATAATCAAATTTCCTCCAAGCCTTACTCTTTGATACCCTATTGCTGTATTCCTTCGAACTGATGTTCCAAACCGCAGGACGTGGTTCTATTCCGACTATAAATTGATTTTTATCGAACGCCATATTATTCAATACTGAACCCTGATAATCAAAATAAAATAACTCTACCAATGTAAGTAGCAGTCGACGACAAAAGTGGACGGTTCCAGCGACTAAGTGTCGCCACTTCGTCGCGGGGACCCACTTCTCTTCGCCACAGCCACTCGCAGCTTTTTCATTTCAACATTGAATTGAATGGCAGGCATTTATCCGCCACAAAGTGGTTCTACTAAGTGCTGTCACCTAGTGGCTCATCTGGACGAGCGATAGATATAATTCTGGTAGTTGGAGGTATGGCATCGGGAAACATTTCTTTACATTAAATGCCACACTTTACTGAAGGTTTTGAGATACAAGAAATACTGTGGAACAAATTGTTTTTTTTTCCAGAGCATCCTCAATTTTATTTATTATGCGATGGATTTGATCAATCGTAGAATGTTTATCCGAACTGATGGGACGAGATAAGTTGTTTGTGTCCATTATCTTATTTAGTCTTCTTAAGAGCAGTTTCTCAAATAGTTTTGATATCACAGGTAGAAGCGAGATTGATCTATATGATGTTGTTTCATTGTTGAGTTTTCCCGGCTTGGGTATTATTATTACTTCAGCTGTCTTCCATAGTAGTGGAACATGTTGAAGTATAAATGCTGCATTAATTATATTGGTCAGTTTTACTAAACCTTGTCGTGGTAATATCTTTAGTATCTTTCCTGTGATCAGATCGAACCTGGGAGCTCTTTTTAACTTAATACTATTTTTTATTTCATTTGTACTTCTTTAGGACTAATTAATAATATTTTCTCTACATCACTAACTTCCTATTGGTTTTCCATATTAATTTCTTCACTTCCAAGTGGATTCGGGTGACAGATACATTCTAACTAGTTGGCAAAAGCATCAAATTTTAGTGAAACTTTTTGCCCATATCTAGTTTTCTGTTCGTATTGGGGGTATGTAATGAGTACTCAGTGGTTTGGTCATCTATGAGCTCTCTCAGATATTTATTGGTTGATTCATTTTTAAGTTTTTCTATCTCTGTTCGTAGCTGTCGTGTAAGTCTATTTAATTTGTTTTTATTATCTTCAGTTCTCATTTTTTGCCACTCCTTTCGAGCCTTCCTTTTGTTTTGTATTAAATCCCTTATTTCTTTGGGGTAATTAATACATATTAATACTAATGGTTTTCCTTTGTATTAAAGGTGTATTATATCATGCAGCTTGTTGGATATTGACCATAAATAATTCCGTTTCTTTTTCCAAATCTTCCACTGTTCTAATTGGGACATCCAATTCAATTGTATCAGCAAGTTTAAGTTCCCAGTCTTTATGTTTGTTCATCAGTGTAAGATTGAGTTCTCTAGTAATAATATTTTCAGTCACTGCTAGGAGTATTGGGGATTCCTCAACATCTTCTATCTTTATAAAATTTGCTGTAATATTTCTGGAAATAAAAAAGTCCAGAAGGTCTGGTATTTTGATTATATCGCTTGGCCAATATGTAGGTTTTTCCGGTGGAGTGCCACCTACATTGCTTATCTTTGATAGCTTCGTTCAATTGTTTTCTTTGGTTGTCTTGTCTTGAGTCCCAGAGGACATTTTTTGCATTAAAATCATCACCTAATATAATATTTTTCATCCTTGACAAGAAGTTGTTGTAGTCTTCTCTTTTAAGATTAAATATGGATGGAAAGTAGGCAGATGCAACAGTGAGTACATTTTTGTTTTGTTTTAACAGATATACTAACAGCTTGTATTTCTTCAGTTTCACTTTTTCCTCGTTTAGAATTGTTTAGATGAATTGCATTATAGATCTGATATCCTTTTAATTTGACGAGCGTATGTTGTGTGTTTAAGGTCACTAATAACTTTTGGTGGTTGGAGAATCTTAAGGTCAACAGGTATTTTCTCTTTTATCATCTTTTATTTTTATTTTCTAGTTTGTCCAGCCTTTCTAGAACATCTTCTTTGTTAAATTTTTCCTGTTTATCCATTTCAATCATTCTTTTTGCAGCATTGAAGTTATGGAATCAGTACTGCTCTCTACTGTCGGTTGTATTTCACTACTTGCTGCTTGGATATAAGGTATACCAGCCTCCATTAATGTTTGTTGTCTTCTTACAGTTTTCTCTAGATTTTCTTCATTCACTTGGTTGACTGTGTCTTTCTGAATTTGTTTTATTTCTTATGCTCTGCAGAGCAGCTTTATAATAAGCTGGGTTCTCCAGTGCACAGTATATGCACTTGGATGCTATACTTAATGGTTTTTTTATAATCTTGGGTTGAGTGTCTTCCAGCGCATTTGACACATCTGGGTTCTATTTTGCAGTAGTTTTGAGTATGCCCATATTTTTGGTATCGTTTACATTGGGGTAATAGTGAAGAATTATAGTGGATGTTTTCTGTATGCTTCTTTTTGCATTCTCAAATAGAGTTTTTCCTTAATTCTAAATTTTTTTTTGACATCTTCATCTTTGTTAAAGAGTGAGAAAGCAGAAAGCAGAAATATCTCAACCGCCGTCTTCGAATCGCAAATAGAGTGGGATTTACAGCGGACATTCTCTTTATCGCAGTTTCTCCTGTTAATCGGTAATATCTAAGAAAAATTTAAGCAAAATGTGTATAAGAATATTTGGTTCCAATGGCGGCCTGTGACCAAAATTTTAGGGGTTCATAATGACAGAATATAGATTTCAGCACAGATGTAGGCAAAAAAATTTTAAGAGTGTACGAAGGCATATTATAACCTTTCTAAAATACTGAAAGTTTTTTACCTACATTTGTACTGAGATCTATATCCTTTCATAGTAAGCCCCAAAATTCTGGCTAAGAGCCGCCACTGTTTGGTTCCCAACAGTATTTAATTCGCCATTCAAGCTAAGTGATACGCCCTCTGGAGGAAATTTGTAGAAGGTCCCTATAAGTAGGATATCGTTCAGTGATGCAAGAAGTAGCAAAATTTCGCGGATAAGACCTTTTATTTAAGAATCAAAATTTGTGTATAGTAATATGTAATCATACTCTATATTTATTTAAGGTTTTTTTTTATAAAACCGATTTATTATATTGATTTTTTTTTAAATTTCAGTTCATTTATTAATTTGGTTTTAAAATCAGTTTATCATTTGGCAACATTGGCGTTCGTGTTCATTGTTTGCATTTTAATTTGTATCAATTACAATTCGAGTTTTTTCTTACTTTTTAGCTTTAAATTTATTTATTTATTTCTTATAGTATGTGATAGTGTTTATATTAAAAATGAATTCTGGGAAAAAGTCCTCAGCAAATTGCAATTTATATGATGTTAATGACAAAATCAAAAACTGAAGTGTTCATTATTTTTCAAGTGCAAGTCGTAAAATTTTGTTTTTTTACGATAAATGGATATCTACAAATTCACAATATTGAAATTTTGCAAAACTTTGTTTAGAATCAAACTGTAATCTGATTTGTGACGGTTTTATTACCATTTACATGTATACAAAGTACTACATAATTCACTTCATAATATAAGAAGAGGTCTAGTAAGATTTTTAAATAAGTTCATTAATAATAAACGTTTGGTACTTAAAATGTCCTTTAAACCACATAATAAAACATGTCCTGGGTTTAGTAAATACATATTTCTAGATGTTCTTGTAGCAACCAATAGGTGAATATTTCCAACAAATTAAGTCATACACATGATAACTATTATATTTATGACGAGAGCATGAGTCTCAAACTTAAATTAACACTAAATGAAACTCAAAAACACTATTACAATGAGAATATTATCTAAAAACAGTTAAACAAATCGTAAATACAAAATCCGCCCAAAACAAACACATGTAAATAAACATACATTCTACTTATAGATGACAAATGACAGGCGCGCGAAAATTAATTTGAATCGCGAATAAACAGGGATGCGTTCAGAAATGTAGGGTAAACGCGTCCGGACGTTGTCTAAACTCTAAAAAGCGATCCAAAATGAGGAACGTTTTATCTGGACGAATTACCCCAGCCGTTCCTATTTAAAAGAAAAACGCGTCATGATGAAGAAATTTTACCCACCGTGTTGAGTAGGGTAATTTTTACTCGACTTGCGCAGTATGTCATAACCCTAATTAACCTAAGAGAACCACCTAGTATTTAATTTCTTATTTTTACTTTTTGAGTAGAAAATATTTAAATATGTGTATGACTTGTATGGGTGAGAGAATTAATTCCATCAATTATTGTCTAGTTGTCGGAAACGATGGTAATTTCATTAGAAAAGGATAAAATTTTATGACACAGGATTAAAGGTAATGAATTGAATTTTTACATAAAAAAGTCTATGTGGACGTCAATGGTGTTACATATTTACTAATTTTTGATAATTTCTACAATCTCAGATAACAGAAAAGACATAACCAAAAACTTGATTTGACAACACGTTGCACTTACTAGTGTTCGTATTTATCGGACAAAAATAAATGTTCCGACGAGTTTTGTCCGGACGATTGAAAATTTGACGGTCTCCATTTCTGAACGCACTCCAGCTCTTAAATGTCAATATTACCCTATACAACTATTTTATACCACATACTTTGATTATCAAAGTATGTGATTTTATACTGAGTAGAAAAATATTACTTACTTCTAAAATATGTTCGGATTGGGCTTCTCGATCCAATTTTCTAGACGTCGTCGTAATGACACCTGAAACAGAAACGTCTTTATTAATTTTAATACGGGCTTACCTATGTGAAATGTTGCTCATATTCGACAATTACATTTAAGATGCACAACATCCTTTGTAAATGGCTTTTACTGTTTTGTAAAGACAGTAAATGGCCTTTATTATCTGTATGAACTACTAAGGTTGTTGGAACAAGAGTATTAGTTGTAACATTTATTAAAGTTTGACCTTCATCTTTATTAAAAGGAACTAAAATAATCATTACAAAATTCGAAACATCACAATTGAATGGCTCATTGATTAGAGCGTACAACTACAATGAATGTGCGCAGGTTCAAGTCCCACCAAATCTGTAATTGTTTCGTTAGAATTTTCCTAACTACTCTTTCTTTGTTTGTTATATCGATATTATTTTTTTTTTAATGTTTTTAAATATTTCCTTTTTACCTTCTTTTACCCAGACTAGCTTTAATTAAAATTCATATAAGTTTAAACACAAATTATTTTATTTTTAATAATTCAATTGGATTTACAAATTTCTCACGAGCGCCACTTTCCCCTAAATTTTAGAGGAAAGAAATATTGTTTTCTGACAGAAAACAAAATTATTTACAAACCAATTATTTGAGCATGAGATATAAACAACTAAACTATATTCCAAGGAGAGTACAGTGGGTACAACACACAAACAACCTATATTTTAAATTATTAACATACAAAAAACCACAGGTATCAAAAGGTTTTGTTCTATTATTAATAAGGTTACTCAAGAAATTTACCCGAAACTTATTTATCATATCCTGTATATCATATTGTGATTAATGTTGCAAAAATCCTATTAAAATTAAAACTATTAGTTATCCAGTATCATTTTAAAATAAATATCATAAAAGAATTTCTGTCTATATGTCTATCTATCAACATCTCAGTAAATCCAATACAATAGATTTAGTTTAATTTCCAAGTGATCTAACCTCCTTGTTATTAAACCTTGCTTTACTTGTCACTGTCACTTGAAGATCAAACTTCAGGCTATGAAAATATAAATAAGAAAAATTTGTTATGACAATTAATTCTAAACAAATGATATATTGGCATTTAAAATTGATGAATAGGAAGATTTTAATTTAGAGATCTCTTATATATAGGGTTCTTTCTCCTGTGGTGATTGTTTATGGGAAAAGTTTTTCTGATTTAAGGTGAATAACTCTTAGGTACATAACAGTTCCATTTATTTATTGCATGCTTTTATTCAATTCTATCAAATTGAATAAAAAATTATATCAAATTTGGATTAGAAAATAAAACTGGAATATTCTTACATCGACGGTTTTATAAAGAAAACTGGACTCTGCTACCTCCAACACGAAATAAGATTTCCATTAGATGAATCTCTTATTAGGACAACGAGCCAAACTGCTTTTGTCATGGAAAAGTTGATTTTTCTTTTCAATTTTACCAGCTTTTTGAGATGCGTTTGTTCCCTTCAAAGATTTTTACAGACTGACTCCCCTGATTTTAAGTACTCCTATTAGTTTTTCTGTCTCCATGGTAATTAAGAAATTTCTTTAATTTGATCTTTTTTATTTGAACATTGCAGTCTTAATTTACTTTTCCCATATAACTTCTCCCCATCACTGTTTTTTCTGATACCTCCTCTTTATTTTAAACTAGTTTTTGTTACCAATAATTCCATATTTTCTTTGATTTAAACACTTTATTAATAGCATGTTATTACTAAATTGTCCCTAAATTCTTGATGTTATATTCACTTTTTGACGATTTTTGTTCATAAAATGTCCATTTACCATTTATTTAAAATTTATGAATTACTCTTAAATCCGTTCAATATTTCCAAAAAATTCTGCAGCATACTATTTTTTTTAACGTATGTCGTATAAGTTTGTACATTCATAGATGAGGTACCTGAAGAGTTTGCAAGAGAACTTTGTTTACTTTGTATGCGTTTTCGCTTACCAGAACACGATGTAGTAGCGCTGTTGTTCGGAAAACTATTGCTATCGGATTTATTTTATCTTGGCCAACGCCATTTTGTCTTACTTTATGCTATAATGAACTATTAACAAGACTATTTTCGGATCACCTATTCTGAAAACCCCAAAGACCACACCATTACCGACGCAGCATTTAAACGTTAGCGGCAAATTAAATATTAAAGTATTCTCTTCCCTTAACCCTGTTTTTAATGTAGATTCAACGTTTCTTGACTTGAAAAGGTGTGCTTAATTATTTAGAAAACAGATCAAGAAATATACCGTGTTATTATATAATCCTCTTCTCTCATAAGGAGACTCTCATTATTCAATGTTTTCAACATCATATAAATGTTTTTATTAAGTTCAAGAATTTTCCACAAAATCGGCCTCAGGAGAGTGCTTTTAGGATGGTAAAGCTTTGTCGAGAACTGGCAGAAACAAAAACTTTTCATTCTGGGCCCTGTTTATTTTAGTTTGTTCGTGGTTTAATTTTAATTGGTATTATTGCGGTAAAATTCATTTAATTTTCTCATAGCTATCACAGAAGACTATGAAGACACAAGGTTTTTGCTAATTAACCCCTTTGAAAGGGGACAAATGATCGTTTACAGAGAGTGTGGTGTTTCATTAAGAGAAATTGCCGATTTGTATCAACGGTGACTGGGTGTTTGCGTGCATGGTCTACAGAAAATAGAGAACACCGTGTCCGAGGCTTTTAGATACCGCCACAAATTCGCTCGCGTCTCTTTGGTATGCAAAGAAACCATGAACGAGAAAGAAGTGCATGTCTTCATGGAGCAACGGATTATAATAAAGTTTTTGGCAGAGGAGGGCATAAAAACAACCGAAATTTTGCAACGCTTGCAGGCACAGGTTGGGGCTAATACTCAGTTAAGAACCCGTGTGTTTACATGGCACCTAGAATTTTCTGGAGGGCCTGAAAAGGTACACCCGTAAAAGCAAAGACGCAATTGTCAGCCGGAAAGGTAATGGCAACATTGTTTTTGATCGGCTAGGTGTTTTTCACGTTGATCAATGCACGATTAATGCAAAATATTGCTGACCTCATGTGGCTAATTTCAAGAGGGAAAAATTGGAAACATTTGAATGGGAAATACTGGAACATCCTCCCTATAGTTCAGACCTTTCCTCTTGTGGCTACATGAACGTTCAAAGAGTTTCAACGATGCTGGAATAAAAAAGCAACCAATCTGATGGGAAAAATATATTTCTAGGAGTAAATGTATGTTTAAAAACTTATTTAAATACGTAGCTTCATCGGTAAACAAAATATGATCAACGAAATTTATATTTCGATTGTTTTCCATTAAGTACCGGTCGCAAAATCCCATTCTTTTAGAATAATCTTCATCTAGTAATTCGTGAACGGTTGTTAAGTGATAGGGATGAGGCTGCTGTTCCTTTAATCTTCTCCAAACCATAATGTCACCAACATCTTATTAAGCAGCTATTACCCTTGAACTGCTTCCAGGGTTTTCCTCAACTAATTCAGAAATCTCATCGTTTGTATTCATTTTTGGACGCCCACTATTATCATCAAATTGCGGTCGCAAAATACCCGTGTCACGTAAACAACAATCAATGAAAAAAAAAAAAAAACAATCGTCTGTCTGGTGTATTCCGATTGGGATATTTTTTCGCATAACCCTTGCAACTTCTGCACTATTCCCTTGGCATTCACCTGTGAACACCAGAATTGCAGATAATTATTTGAAAGTTTGTTTTAGCCTGACCAAACTTATCCAGAATTAAATTATATACATTAAAAGTTCATTATTTTTAATTTCATTATTTTTATTTTCCTTACTTTTAGCTGGCAAGCTAATGGCATAATTTGTATGACATCCATAAGCATTAATACATCTTTTCCCTTGTCTTTTTAAATAAAGATGTGCCATTAACTTAAATTCTAAGCCGATTTTCACCGACCCATAAATATAAAACCTATAACACTGTCTAAGCTAGGCCAGATGGTTTTAAGATTCCTTTTCACAAGGTTTCTTTAAACCTGTCAATAATTAAGTTACAATATATATTATAACAGATTTGATGTAACGTAACAAATATGTTATTCCATTTTTGGTCTATCTTACTTTAAGTGTACGATTTTTATGTTTTAATATAAAATTCTAGGGACTAGAGGGGGACCAGCCTCTACCTGCCCTTCGCTGGGTATGCCCTTGGTAAGGGGAGAAAGACGTAATCCTGCTTTTTTTATGGAGTGGCAATTTGCTCGAACCGTGGGCGTTGATTTGGGGAGCTACCTGCTACGGAAGTGACTCCTCTGAGTTTATTCAGGGTACTATGAATGTAGATCGGTATGCACAGGAAGTGCTGCCTTGCCCTGGCCTACATTTTCTCCACTTACTATTCATAAAACATGTGTAGGATATGATAAAAAGAAGACTAAATAATCTACCATGGAGACCAGAGACCATAGAATAAATGAGGCACGAAATGGGGTGCATCAGAAGGTAAATAATAATCTTATCCACAAGATGTCATGACGAGTAGATGAATGTGCAAATTTATGAGGGCTCACGTTTTATTAAACCAATTATGTGTCATACGACTATCTGATCAACATTCGTTTTACATGCTTGTTCCTAAAAACATACTAAAATGCAAGAATAGTTTCAAATTTGTATTGATCGAATAAAAACATCGTTAAGTAAAAGTAAAAAGTAAAAAAGTAACAGGCGCCTAAAAAATTTTGGTTTTCAATACAATGTCTTTTGACTGTTAAAACAGTCTGGCTGTGATCTAAAATTTTACATTGTTAATAATTCACCCTTTTGGTACGCCTATGTCTGCCTCAGGCTCGGATTTCCATTTCAATTTATTTAAAGGCGAACTATTTAAATAACGTAACGAAGTTTAAATAACAATACTATGTAAACTAGATGCTCGAATTCACAATAACTTTACTTAGACAAACACTTCTCCGGGATTAGTTTCCTATTCATTGAGCAACTTTTGTAATGAAACAAATTAATTGAGTC